TATGTTTTCAACAGAAGCGGTGTGAGTGATCTTGTTTTTCAGTGGCGCCATCTATTACAAAGTATACAAATTCTGCGACACCTATACGTCCCACCCGTTTATAGGGTTGACACATTCACATACTCATTCCACAGATCGTAATTTTGACTTGAACCGGAGAATGATCAATTTCCTATTCAGTACCAAAGGGAAGTAATTTGTTATGGGAACATGGAGAACCTTGTGACCCTACAGACTTAACGTGCACCAGTCATTTCTACACTAGAAGTCTTCGGGGTGTTCACTCCCTTTCCCAATGTGACTTAGTGAGATAGATGATAGATCAAATCATATATTGAACACAACGTCAATAGCTTTTTTCATAAATAAATTATTTAAAATAGCCTGATATCCTGAAATTTAATGAATGAAGATATAAAAGTGTTAATTTAATTTGAGCAGAAAAATGAATTACAAAAATAATCAATAGAATTAAAAATTATTAATTATTCTCACCTTTTGAAAAGTGACATTGGAAAAAAATTCTAATTATCACACAATGGTTATGAAACCTACCAACGAGTTCCGTTTTCTCGAAACATTTTTATTGATTATTCAGAGTGGTAGTAAATTTCAGGATTTCTCATTTTATTGTTGAAATCGTCAATTTTGTTCAGATAGATTTTGTCCAACGCACTACGTACAAACAACTTAAACATAAACATAATATATATATAATCAGACGAAGAAGTGAGGTGCCNTTTAGCCCTGCCCAGCAAGCTTTTTAGCAGTGTAACGTTTGACAGCTATTATCACAAAAGTGTCGAACATTCAACTCATATCTTACAGAAAGTATCAACCGCTAAGTTTCTATATTCTTTACTTGCGATTTTTGAGATTTGTGTCCTGCGTGACGCCAGAAGGAGTGGAATCGTAGCTTCAGCATTAAGTAAAGAATGAGCCAGCCCTTGTCTACCTTCTCTTTAGCCCTGCCCAGCAAGCTTTTTAGCAGTGTAACGTTTGACAGCTATTATCACAAAAGTGTCGAACATTCAACTCATATCTTACAGAAAGTATCAACCGCTAAGTTTCTATATTCTTTACTTGCGATTTTTGAGATTTGTGTCCTGCGTGACGCCAGAAGGAGTGGAATCGTAGCTTCAGCATTAAGTAAAGAATGAGCCAGCCCTTGTCTACCTTCTCTTTAGCCCTGCCCAGCAAGCTTTTTAGCAGTGTAACGTTTGACAGCTATTATCACAAAAGTGTCGAACATTCAACTCATATCTTACAGAAAGTATCAACCGCTAAGTTTCTATATTCTTTACTTGCGATTTTTGAGATTTGTGTCCTGCGTGACGCCAGAAGGAGTGGAATCGTAGCTTCAGCATTAAGTAAAGAATGAGCCAGCCCTTGTCTACCTTCTCTTTAGCCCTGCCCAGCAAGCTTTTTAGCAGTGTAACGTTTGACAGCTATTATCACAAAAGTGTCGAACATTCAACTCATATCTTACAGAAAGTATCAACCGCTAAGTTTCTATATTCTTTACTTGCGATTTTTGAGATTTGTGTCCTGCGTGACGCCAGAAGGAGTGGAATCGTAGCTTCAGCATTAAGTAAAGAATGAGCCAGCCCTTGTCTACCTTCTCTTTAGCCCTGCCCAGCAAGCTTTTTAGCAGTGTAACGTTTGACAGCTATTATCACAAAAGTGTCGAACATTCAACTCATATCTTACAGAAAGTATCAACCGCTAAGTTTCTATATTCTTTACTTGCGATTTTTGAGATTTGTGTCCTGCGTGACGCCAGAAGGAGTGGAATCGTAGCTTCAGCATTAAGTAAAGAATGAGCCAGCCCTTGTCTACCTTCTCTTTAGCCCTGCCCAGCAAGCTTTTTAGCAGTGTAACGTTTGACAGCTATTATCACAAAAGTGTCGAACATTCAACTCATATCTTACAGAAAGTATCAACCGCTAAGTTTCTATATTCTTTACTTGCGATTTTTGAGATTTGTGTCCTGCGTGACGCCAGAAGGAGTGGAATCGTAGCTTCAGCATTAAGTAAAGAATGAGCCAGCCCTTGTCTACCTTCTCTTTAGCCCTGCTCAGCTTTAAGTAAAGATTGAGCCAGCCCTTCTCTACCTTCTATTTAGCCCTGCATCTTTACAATGCAGAGCAAATTAGCATTTCTGCATTAACTCAAGCTTTTTAAAATTGTTAACATATAAGAGCAAACACAAATATGATGTATCACAGTTATTGACATAAAACTGTGCCACAATTCTTTTTCTCCTGCTTCATTTTCACGTTTCTATTTTTTATCTTAAAAATGGGTATTTAAAATTGATATACACTCATAATCTTTTTCTTTGTTCAGTTTAAATCTAACATTGGCTAAAACGTACCTTTATTGACTACAATTAAACGAACATACATTTTTGAATGAAATTAATAACAGATTTCTAAATCAAGAACTTTTCGTATATCAATAACTTATATTTCCTTATAAAAAAATAACTACGCATGCCGATAAAATGCCATTAATTACATTATCGATCAAACGAGAGAAGAAAAAAAAATCTGAGAGATATTTAAGATTTCTTTGGTGAAAACGCAATGAATTTTTACAGTATTTGAGTAAATCATTTATCACAATTATCGCAAAGGATGAAAAAAAAGGATGAAAAAAATAAAAATGCTAGATTATGGAGATGATAAAAATCAGATAAAGTCATTTTCTTCATTAACACTTGGATAAAAATAAGTAAAAGATTGCAAACCTAATCTTAGTCATTACGCTAATTTAAGGTCTGAATAATGATAAAATATGTCAAACATACAAAAACATACACAACACGAAATACAAAAAGGTGTTTCGTGAATAATGTAATTTTGTGCCATTGCTTGTTGCTATTAATAGTGTACTTGAGGCAATAACAAGATAAAAATTGCGCTAGAAGCCCCAGCAAGAAAAATACTTTTATTGTACGTTAAGCTTCAATCAGTTAAAAGGCTTTATTAAGTAACACTTTTTCTATCTTAATATGTTCTGGGAAATCACAAAAATGTGGAGGGAAAATGTTTATTATTATTATTTTTTTGTAAATTATTATAAGGAAATTGAATTTTACAATTTGCACCCGGGATTTTTTTATATAAAAAAGTCCATTTTACCACTGAAAGATAACAGGACGTAACTAAATATTTACACACTCAACATAAAACATGGTTGCCATTTATTTCACGTTTTGGTAAAGATTCTTCGCAGTGGTAGCGGCATGACAATTGATTTTGCAAACTTGTGGTAGTGATATAACAATTGATTTTATAGCCCTTTGCAGTCGAAGCTCTTTCATCTGTTAAAAATTGGACGAAGCCACTAACATTTTGAAAGATTTTTTTACAAACTTACCTTATAATACCCGGAGATCACTGAATTAAGTGGTAGCAAAGCATTAAGATGAAAAAAAAATTCACATTTAAAGTGATGGGTATTTTACAGGTGACTGACAGTCACCTTTTGAGTGCAAAGGGTTAATTATACTACCATTTACTAACGTTAAAGCATAGAGCTAGAACTTATATCATACTCTCCGACTACTACAATATTTCAGTAGTTTCAGAAAATATGTTTCTTCTCCAAGAGATGTTTGGTATAAAGAATACCTAGAAAGGAGAATATACAATGAGAAAAAAAAATTAAAATATAAATATTTTTTGATCCAATAATAATATGAATATGTTCTGATCTAACTAAGGGTGAGCTCAAATAAATAGTGCAGTTATTTCAAGTTAGGAAATCAGACACAAAAACGTATTTTCTCTGAATTAACATACCTTTTTAACGACGGATTCGAATTTCTGATTCCCAATATCCCTTTTTGTAAATTTGTTTTAAAGTTATTTTTGCCACCTCTACGTATCGATAATTCAAAAGCTCAAAGTAAACTCCACATACTTACGGTGCCTGCTTGGCAGAGCAATATCGCCCACCAAATACATTGTTTCGTGGAGGTATAGGATTTTAATTCCGCTATCACCCTGGATATATCTTCGTTCTAGCTTTCTTTTAATTGCGCTGTCTGTCCCCTATTTGAGAGCCTTTATTAGTTGGACTTCCTCTGGTCGACAGCCTTAACTTAGCATACAAGCTTACAAATATATGTTGACAAGTTGAATGCCATGCGAGTCACCAGTGACCGGCACTGAGTTGTGCTCAGCGCCATGTGGGTCACCGGTGACCGTCAAAGCCAAGATTATTAGAAACACATAAATCGAGTAAATTTTTAATTTTTTCATATTATTATCGTTGCTGAAATGGTTTGAAGAAATTAATGCAATATAGAACACACTTGACTTGATATAAATTATAGCAGAGTACCTACCCGCGAAGCGGGCACCTCACTTCTTCGTCTGATGGTATGATATAAATTTAGACTAAATGGCTTTGGCAAGGAAAAAAAGATTCGAGTGTTGGCTGTGAAGCCTCTGTTAGCCCGTTTTGTCCCGAATTTATAAATTGAAATGATACAAAAAGTGGTTTTATGGAAAAAGTGGTATAATATATTATCGAAATTAATTGGTTTTTCTACTGTTAAGGCATTCAAAAGTCTTTGACAGATCAAAAAGTACTTGTTCCTTAGAATTCTAGATCTAATCAGAAATAACTAAATCGTTGGGGTATCTGAGAATCCTTTAATTCATCCAGATAAATGAAAATACTGAAAAAAGTTTCCCACCACTATGAATGCCTTTGCAAAAAGGAACTGTCCTAAATATATGACGCTGGGCGTTAACCGGTTAAGTTGCAGTCAAATCTGCCATGTAAAATTAGCTTGGCATTCAGCGTGTTAAACAAGGAACCATGATTGCCAACTTTGGCTCTTTCCAAAATTTTCCAAAGTGTTTGTAAAATGCATGCAGCATTTATAGCTTGTTTCTGAATTAAAAATGTTATACGATCAATTAAAACTTATTTAGTATGTTTTCATTTCTATTTATAGACTAATTTTTTTATTCTTCTATTAGGTTGCCACTCTCTTCGCTTTTTAAATATCTCTGTTCCTGGTGCAATACAAGCTGGTGAATCTATCTGGCTTAAATGTGATTTTGATTTAGAGGGAGATGATTTATATTCTGTCAAATGGTATAAAAATCATGTGGAATTTTATCGATACCAGCCCAGGGATAAACCACCTGGTCAAACATACCGACTCTCTGGTACAGAAGTTGATGTAAGTTGACTATTATTTTTTTTTCCATTTAAATTTTATGTAACATTTCAATTAGTTTTAAAAACAGTTTTTCTATAAAAATATAATACTTGTACTATTTACAATTGTAATCCAGCTTAAACTTATACAACTTTACTACTTAGGATAAAGACACACTTCCATATATTCCAAATTGTTTCGTTTTCAATGAATTTTTTTTCAAATATTTAAGTCCCCTCTGCAGAGGATCAAAATTGTGATGGCATGTCTTCGGTTCATCAGCAGGGATGCTTCCCAGATCGTCGTCAATAGCCCATTGTGTAGCTCCAGTGCGAAGTAAATCAACGCTTCCTATAACTGAAAGCCTCCACACGGTTTTTTATTGGTATTCCGATCTGACCACTATGAAGGATATCCATTTTCCGAACGAGTCATTTAATACAAAATCTAGTTAAAATAAGAAAGGTTTTTATTTTCTTTTTTTTTTCCAATGAGCTGCACAATCGGACTTGCCGATGAGCAGACCTAGCCATGGGTGAAAGCCCTTATATAGCAAGACGGAAAAGAGAAAAACCTGGTACGTAAATCATTTCATTCCAGCATTTTTTTCGAAAAAAATGAAATATCTGTAACTATCAAGATTTCCTTTATAATTCTGGCATATATATAAAACTGCTTCTTTTCCAAGATAAAGTAACTTTCACCTTTCACTTGCGCTTCGGCGATTTATCATTTATTTCCACTCAGATGAATTAGTTGGAGCCCCTAGCGGGGCTGATGCTAAGATAACCAACACATATGAGTATGAGTAAGATAAAGTAGATATTGTTGAAAAATTTAAAAAAAGAATAAGCGAACTCCTCCCCAAAACTAGCTATAACTGAAATGGTTTTACTACCAGCCTTTCCTCTTTTCCGTCTCGCTTTCACCCCTGAAGTCAAGTATCATTAGGCAGGGTCAGTACTTGGAAGGGTAACCACCAAGGAACACAGAGTGCCGTTGGCATAGCTTTTGAGCTGACCAAACTGTGTTGTGGTCAGGGGGAAGAACCTGGATTCAAATTCCGGACAAGGAATACTCGTTTTTTTCATTCTCTGCACTACCTGTCCTAAGTAAGGAAGCAAGTTTGGCCCACCTAATATTAAGATGCCCTTGAAAAAGTGGCCATAAAATCTGCTCTACTGATACCTAAAAGGGCGAAGGACGAGTGTCAATCCAGGACTACCAGCTACTATTCTTTTTGCAAAATATTTAATTCAGTGGTAGACAATTAAAAATTAAAGCTTACAGAATTTTCGGTTATTTTGCCAACATATTAAAAGTCCTAAAACGTGAGAGTTGGAACAAAGTGGCTTTTACTATAAGCTTTCGAATAATTTAGAAATAGTAATATGAAAAATAACTTTTAAATCAAAATTATAGGTAGGTAGATACTTTATTTACGTCGCACTAGAGCTGCACAATGGGCTATTGGGGACGGTTTGCGAAACATGATCCGAAGACTTGCCATCACAATCTTGATTTTCTGCTGTGGGGGTGGCTCCCCTGCTTTGGTAGCCCAACGACCTGAGTTCGAACATTTACGGTAAGACAGTTTAAGGCGGACCGATATCGCTCACCCTCGGTCCCTACGAAGGTTGATCAAAGTGGTCCCCTATCCGTACACTGACCGCAGCCAAAATCAAATTTATAAGAGTAAAAATAATACATTAAAGCACCAACTTGGCTACCACTAGAAGAAATTTTTGCCGGTTTTTTGTCGGTGTTCATCTTATAATTTTCGATTTTAATTTTTCCCCTAATTTTTGAAATTTTTTATTGAGGGTTTTATGAGCTCACCGAATTGTCAACATGGCCATCGATCTTTCTTGGCTACGATAACCAGAGCATCGAAGCAGACTATTTCACATCAGAATGACTTCCATTGGCGATTGAGATGGGTTCCAGGTCGCGTAAAGTAGAACTCTCTACCAATGGCAATACTTTACATGCTTTCACCTGTAGCGTGTGGAGAGTCATAGAAGAAGGACGCGCAATACTTTCGATATTGATTTTGTACTAAATAAAAATGTTTTAATTTAGGAAACTTCATGGAACTGAAAGTTGTATTAAACACAGTTCTAAAAGAAAGCGTCATGGAAATTAAAAAAAAATTTTTTTAGCAATTAAATATAAAAACATTAACCGGTTAACGCCCAGCGTCATATATTTAAGCCAGTTCTTTTTTTCAAAGACATTCATTGTGGTGGGAAATTTTTTTTGTATTTTCATTTATCTGGGTGAATTAAAAGATTCTCAGATACCACAATGATTTAGTTATTTCTGATTAGATCTAGAATTATAAGGAGCAAGTATTTTTTGATCAATCAAAGACTTTTTGAATGCTCTAACTGTAGAAAAACCAATTAATTTCGATAATATATTTTACCACTTTTTCCATAAAACCACTTTTTGTATCATTTCAATTTATAAATTCGGGACAAAACGGGTTAAGGAAAGGAAAAAAATCGTGGTACATTCCTATAGAACTGAAAAGAGGTGGAGAGGAAAGGGGAACGGTCATAACTAGGACTGGGCTATAAATCGATATATCGCGACATATCGATTTAACGCCTATATCGGCAAACCGATACAGCGACTTTCATTCCAAGCGATGCATCAGAAATCTGATTTAAGCCGTCGAGTGAAGAAGACGATATAGCGATACACGCAAGGCCTTTCTCTTACGTTCCGATGCCAACTCGCGCTGTGGAAGACGATATTGTTTCGTTATGTTGAGACGGCCTTGACTGATGAGCGGTAGAATCAGAATCACTTTTGAGACCTTATATCGTTATTTCAAAACTGGAGTTAATCAATGTGTTCAGTGAGTGATTATTTAAAATTAAGGTTTAAAGTTGTTTTAAGGCGTTAAGCTTGGCTTAACCCCGTCCCGCCTCCTATGGGAGGCATCCGGGGAGGCAGATGATCCATTGAACAAACATAGTGTAGTTTCCACAAGTGAAAGATGATAAATATAATGGCAACAATGAACAGAAGTAAAGATGATTAGCAAGTATAATATTTACAGGAGAATGTTGAAACCGATGTGAAGATGATGGGTACGGTGGTAATCATGAACAGAAGTAAAGATGTTCGATTACACAAACAAAAAATGGTTTTTATATGGGGGGTTGTGTGACGAATCTACGGTTTCCAATAAGGTAAGGTCTAATTGGCATTATATCCGCGAGCTGTAGCAAGATTTCGATCTGTGTAGTGATTGTTATGCATAATGATTTGACGACTGTGAGAAGTGTTATCTGTCGATGATTTCCGGCGTATGTCTCTCGAAGTGTGACTTGATTATTTCAATGATTCCCTGTTTAATCTGTTTGTTTCTCCAATTTTGTCTCAATTGTTCGTAATTGAACCCGGCAGGGAAGAAGCCTGTTCTTATGGTTTGGTATTCGGGGCATCTGGTTAGTATGTGGTCCAAGTTATCGGTGGTGTTACATGAGGGGCAGTTAGGATCTTTATGATGAAAGCGGGCCTGATAGGTGTGCTGGGTACCGTGATCTGTTAAGAATTGGTTGAGATAAAAATTACTGTTTAATGTTCTTGGGTTTACGTTTTTAATTAGATTATAAGTGTGTCGACCCTGTTCATGTTCTTCATCCCATCTCTTCTGCCATATGTCCAAAATCTCGTCTCTCTTTTGCTGCCGAATGGTTCTTCTTGATGGGCAATTATAAGTATCGATTTTTTCTAGTTCGCAGGCCTTTTTGGCATAAATGTCCGCTTTTTCATTTNAAAACTTATTTAGTATGTTTTCATTTCTATTTATAGACTAATTTTTTTATTCTTCTATTAGGTTGCCACTCTCTTCGCTTTTTAAATATCTCTGTTCCTGGTGCAATACAAGCTGGTGAATCTATCTGGCTTAAATGTGATTTTGATTTAGAGGGAGATGATTTATATTCTGTCAAATGGTATAAAAATCATGTGGAATTTTATCGATACCAGCCCAGGGATAAACCACCTGGTCAAACATACCGACTCTCTGGTACAGAAGTTGATGTAAGTTGACTATTATTTTTTTTTCCATTTAAATTTTATGTAACATTTCAATTAGTTTTAAAAACAGTTTTTCTATAAAAATATAATACTTGTACTATTTACAATTGTAATCCAGCTTAAACTTATACAACTTTACTACTTAGGATAAAGACACACTTCCATATATTCCAAATTGTTTCGTTTTCAATGAATTTTTTTTCAAATATTTAAGTCCCCTCTGCAGAGGATCAAAATTGTGATGGCATGTCTTCGGTTCATCAGCAGGGATGCTTCCCAGATCGTCGTCAATAGCCCATTGTGTAGCTCCAGTGCGAAGTAAATCAACGCTTCCTATAACTGAAAGCCTCCACACGGTTTTTTATTGGTATTCCGATCTGACCACTATGAAGGATATCCATTTTCCGAACGAGTCATTTAATACAAAATCTAGTTAAAATAAGAAAGGTTTTTATTTTCTTTTTTTTTTCCAATGAGCTGCACAATCGGACTTGCCGATGAGCAGACCTAGCCATGGGTGAAAGCCCTTATATAGCAAGACGGAAAAGAGAAAAACCTGGTACGTAAATCATTTCATTCCAGCATTTTTTTCGAAAAAAATGAAATATCTGTAACTATCAAGATTTCTTTTATAATTCTGGCATATATATAAAACTGCTTCTTTTCCAAGATAAAGTAGATATTGTTGGAAAATTTAAAAAAAAGAATAAGTAAACTCCTCCCCAAAATTAGCTATAACTGAAATGGTTTTTCTACCAGCCTTTCCTCTTTTCCGTCTCGCTTTCACCCCTGGACCTAGTGCGTTCTCCAGAGGTGGTATCCACTCTTTCAGGACCACCACAATGGGTGAGATACCGTTGATCATGTTAATTTGGACGTCTAGTTTCTGCCACACTAGATGGCAGCACCGAGACTCGCTAACGGGTTTTGGGTTCATGCGCGCTAGTGGTTCACTTTTTAAATAGTCTGAACGGACAACTTATAAAAGACCGTGTGGAAGCTTTTTGATGTAGGAGGTGATGCGTAAATGAACCACAACAAATCAAATATTTAAGTTGTTGTAACTTGCATGCTTCACCATTTTATTTTCAATTCGAAAAATTTGATTTACAATAAGTTTAATCACCACTGTATCTACTTATTTTAAAGACCTAAGACTTGATAGCCCTAGAGAGATACTCATGAGGACCTCCCCGGACAAGCGGTATCACCATCATCTCCGACATCAAAAAGCTTCCACACGGTCTTTTATAAGTAGTCCGCGCAGACTATTTAAGAAGTGAACCTGTAGTGCGCATGAACCCAAAAACTTTTATAAAAGTAATTGAGAGAAATTTATTATATATATTTGAGAATTAAATCTGTAGTGGTTGACAAGTGAATAAGGCAAACCAATAATATTTATAAATAAAACAAATTTTTAGTCATATATTTGCTACCACTTCCTTATTTTAACTAGATTTTGAATTAAGAGACTCCTTTGGAAAGTGGATATCCTTCACAGTGGTCTGATCGGACTACCTATAAAAAACCGTGTGGAGACTTTCAGTTATAGGAGGCGTTGGGATCACCCGTCTAACGATGTGGGAAACGTGGAGGTGACGGGTTCTTATTCCGCCGGAACTCTGGATATATTTATTCTACACGATGTCTTTCTGCTTGACAAAGGTTTATAAGAGTAACTTGATCACACAAGCCTGCAAATGTATGTAATTTCAATAAAGCAGGAAAGAAAATCATAATCACTTAAAAAGTTAAGCGAACTCAGATTACTTTAAGTTTTTGCTTTACTATCACGTTAAATATTTTAGAAGGCTCGAATTTCACAGTTGTCATCTATGCATTTGCACACCGGCCAATTCGTCCAGATTTAACTGAGGATTTTGATTTTACATTTAATGTGGTTGTCAAATTTTGATTTCTTGATATATATTTGATTCTTGTTTTAATAAATTTGATTAACTATAATTTGAACTACCATTATATTTAAATAGCTTAAACGCCAATAACGAAGATTTGATAGCTATTTTATCGTGTGTTAATTGTTAGCTAAAAGTGATTTAAGTATTTTCTTTCATTATCACTTTAACACGTTCACGCCGGGGTGACCCACCGTTGGGTCACGCTAGATTGTCTCATCGGGCGGCGCACCGGAGTAAAAACTGGTAACAAATAAATTTAATTTTTTAGTTTTTTTCCGGGAATAATGAAAATCCATAACTACCAATTGTTTTTAAGGGATGCAATTTTTATATTGAATTGCTTCTTCGCCGTGATAAATTTCCTTACAGTGAATTGTTATTGTTGAGAATAGATTAACTCCTCCCGAATATTATCTAATATTGAAATAGTTCTTCTACCAGTATTTTCTCTTTTCCGTCCCGCTTTCAGGCGCAACACCCGGCGTGAACGTGTTAATAATAATTTTTAAATACTCACTGGAAAAAAAAAGATTTCAGAAAGAGTTTGAAAGATACGCATTTGCAAATCAGACAGCAATTTATCTCAGCACCTGGGTTGCGAAGCAGTCGTCATCTCATTTATCATGAGACTAAGTTCTGTTTGTGTTGAGTCTTTATGGCCAGTAGGCAATCAGGTTGCTCTTTGCAAATCTGATAGCTGCTCCTTAACCCCTTGGGGACGGGTGATTCAGAAAAGCATTCGTACAAAATCAGAATCAAGTTGTAATTAAATAAAAAGCGGTAACTTAAATGTAGTCGTTGCTAATTTGACAGACTTACTTTGCTTTTTCTTTAATTATTGTTAGTTTAATCATATATATAATCAATGTTAGTTCAAAGTATAACTAAATAGTTTTATTTTGAACAAAGTAATGGTGAATTAAATAAATCAAACAATTATAACTCCGCCCACAAATAAACTGCTAAAGAATTAATTTGATTACCAGTTTTATCTTTTTATCCTGATTGATACAGTTTCATGCTGGCACGTATTTGTGACAGTCGGCGCGAAAGGGTTAATAGACATTTCATTCTAATGATTTTAGAAATTGCATGGATGTTACATAAGAATATTGAAATTTGTTTTAGAGAAAAGATTGTGAGTTGACTTGAAAAGAGTTTCAACCTCTTATCAAGGACAGTCTTAAGAGGGAAATGTAAATATATTTTGTTGCTAAATCACATACGAATTAAAAAATACATAGCTGCCAACTTGTGCAATCATAGTTAGAAATAGTTAAAAATGCCAACTTGTGCATGCCAGCTTGTGCATTTCCAATTATTACATTTTCACGTATACCTCTGGCATTTTATAATGATGATTCAATTTCTCAGTGTTGTGTTTTGCTAAAATCTTCAAAAATCTTATTACCATGCACAATGCCATGTAAAATTTTCCACAATCATTTGCTTCTAAACGAAATATTGTGTTCTTAAAAAACGTTTCCATTATTTTGTCCAATTCCTGCATTTGCAATAATAATGAAGACATTCAATTATTTTCAATGCAAATACAAACACTTTTTTCGTATGAATAATTTTCACACCAATACCAAGAGGTAAATTTTTGCACTCTCGACTTTGGAAAATCTCATTTTATTTTATTTTTAACATTGATTTAGAGGGAAAAAAATATAAATTTATTTATTTATTACTTAAGGGGATTCGGTAGGGCATATATCAATAATGCAAAAGCAGACCTTTTTCAATGTACCTCTTCTAAGAAACTATATACTTATGATATAGCTTGAATTTTTTTGAAATTTTTGCTGCCATTTGAGATTATATTAATTGTATGTTGCGATAATGTTTTAGAGTTAACAGAAAAACTTTTCTATTTATGAAAGGTTTTTGATGAAACTGACTTTTACAAGAGGAGAACTTTTAATTTTTAAACAAAAATTCTGTCAAAGTAACAGTAGATATATATCTTGGCCAAAGAATACGTGCTCTTTGTTCGCCATGATATATATATATATATATATATAGCTTTTTTTTCCCCCAGANNNNTGAAAAGTGATAAAAAAGATCAAATATATATATATATACTTTGAAGAAAAAGCAGAAGCAATATCTTGTTTAGATGCTGAGATAAAGTACATCGAAAAAGGTCAGTTTCAGCATTATTGGAATATGCCCTACCAACTCCCTTTAGTACATTAAAAATTTATTGTTTAATATGTTATTAACTTATTCTCCGCAGACGTTGAGATTGCGCAATATTTTAATAATAATGTAAAAAGTACCTTTCTTGGAATCGGTAGGGAATTAGAACTAAAGCTCAATTGATAATTTCTAACGTGATAACCACTTAACTATTAAAAAAAATATTACAAGTACATAATTTCAGATTAAAATATATTCACTGTATTTTTAATATATTTTGGTGATTGCGAATACATTATTCAGGGATTCCTGTGGTACCTGAAACTAATATAGTTGTACGTAACCGTTTGTTCTGAAATTTATTTCATGTTTTGAAAAAGTTAATATGAAACTTTCCTTTTCATTTCTGTAAAACCGTTACAGGTATAGATATTTCCTTCCTTTTAAATTTCTTCATTTTCATAAACTCAATTTTTTATGCCTTCTTAGACCTGTTATAACTAAATTGAATCAATTATTGAATTTTTATACTAATTTATAAAGAGTAAATGCAAATATTTTTATTCTTAATAAATTTAATCAATAACTTTTCATTTCAATACTAGTGCATAAATAATTATTATTCAATGACATGAAAAGTTTATTTTTAACATTTCTTTCTTCGACCAAATTACACTTTAGCATATACGTTATTAGGTTTACTTTAATTTCCATCAAACTTTTTGGCTTTAAATCATCTATCAGATTATTTAAATTTCATATTATTAATGAGGGGTTGGCTTTATTTTTGGCTGTATTATTTTTCAATAACCAGCCAATTCTTTGATCTATTCCCTTGTTCCCAGCGTCTGGTAGCTAGTTTGAATTCATTGCTAATTTGAGTTATTTGGAGTTAAGTCTGGGGTGTTTTGGATGCCTATGGTCCCTCATTCCGGC